TCTCCAAAAAAAAAAAAAATTCTAGTCATGTCAGCATAGCTGATATCTTAGGGCACTGAGCAAGTATGACTTGGACAACATCAGCCCACCAAAGTTTATCATCTGTGGATCAGAGTATTCTACAAAGATCCTTGGCACAACCTCACTATAGAATTCTACTATGTATAAAGAGAAATGAAATACAAAAGCTTAACTAATCCAGAGATTCTAATAAAAGTCTAGAAATACCTAGGCCCATGAAACCTCTGAATTATAAACAAAATTTTACAAGTACATTTTCCTAAAAAGAGGCTTCCTGACACCCAAAGAGTTGACTCCCAAAGGATTCTAATTTAAACCCACTCATGTACATGTCGGAACACAGAGCTAGGTGGGAGAAAAACTAAATGGCTTGTTAGATTAGAACCCAGGTGAGAAAGCTGACTTGTGATGTTTCATTTTTCTACGCCTCCAAATACTATTTGATTTCTCTATGTGGGATAAGCAGACCCAATAAGGATTGTTCTGTTTTTGTTTTTATAGTACCTGCATTTCTGTCGCACCATGGGTCAGATTTGTGCTTATCTGTGTGATCTGCATGCTGGTTTATCACTAGACCTTCTCAGCGTTTTAGAGAAAGAAATAGGGAGAGTAGAATGCAGTGGCACAGGGGTTACACACACGCCATGATGCTGAAGCCACATGGAAGATCCTGGCTCATGTCTGTGCAGCCAGGTGTGCATGCTCATGTTATGATCCTAGCTGGCGAAGGCAGATCTGGATCAAAGCATAAACACCATTTTGGGGTGCCTGACTGTCTCTCTGTCTCTTTATCTCTTTAAAGAAATAAATACAATTTAAAAAAACAATGACATGGGTAGCACCTATTGCTTGCTATATCTGGAAAATTTCTAGAGCCAAGGTTGCATGAAAACCTTAATTATTGGCTTTCACCTTCCAGTTTTCTCTTAGCACAGAGTAGAGAGGAACCTGGTAAGTTAGAGAATCCTATAGTTTTTTAAAAGAAGAAGATATGTTGGAGGCAGAAGATTCTGTGACAGAGGCTGGAGTTTGTCCTGGCTCGGCCACTTAAGACACAAACAACATAACTCGACTTCTATTTTGTTAAAGGCCAGAGTATGAGTATGTGCACATGAGAGACAGAAAAGAGAGAAAGAAGGCATCCCCCAATGGGGCCTCGTCACACCATAATCCTCTTTCCTCCAATGCTCCGTCCCATCAGGATCCTGGGCATGCATGCACCTGGCATGTTTTTCAAGACAGTGAGGCCAGGACTCACTGTCAGCCATGTGGGATTCAGCTTTCTCTGCACAGTGCCTAACCTCTGCACTACACGGCCAGCCCCAATGTCACCTCTTTAAGCTTCAATTTCCACATGTGTAAAAGAGAGATGATGATAGTAGTATTCACAAGGACGGTTTCAGAAATAAGTAAGAAAATTTATGAAAATTGCTTCAAGCACACCGGAAGTGTTCAATAAATACTAGCACTCTGATTGCAGAATTTCTTTGAGGCTAAACCTTTGGCATTTTGAGATAAATGTTTAGCCATAATTTTGTATGCAGAAAGTAAATAATAAGCCGATTCTCTGAGAAAATATGCAGACCTCTCTCCCAGCATTCTACGTGTAATCGTCTACAGTCCTGAAACCACTGGCGGGGTCACTGACGAGCAATTGGGACTAGGAACTCGACTGCCTACACATATTTTAAGAACTACTTCATTTTTTATTGACTTTGAAGCTTATTTTAAAGCGAGGTTAATTTTATATTTATGTATTCTGAACTGAAGATAAATCTTTCAAGCCTCAGGCCTTGGCCCGAAGCACAGTCTGTGAAAACAACTTCTTCTAGAAGAATTGGTCTGAACCAACAGCCAGCCGGTCTCAAATCACTGTGCTCTCCAAGAAAACGATTTCATACGAAATGTTTTCCTCTGATCACAGCAACACTTTGAAGACTTCAAACATCAACAGAGATCGAGGGGAAAACGCATCTTTCTGAAATGCCAATTTTTCTGAAGTAACCACCCCTCAAAACCCTTTAGTCACTTCAAATGGTTTCAAGTGCATATTGAGTCAGCCCACACGGAAATGAGAGACAGTGATAAATGAACAGAATAATGTTTCAGGATAAAAGTCTGCAACGAATTCAAATGTCAGGGCAGAGAGGGACCATGATTATCACGTATATCACATACATCCGCACACGGGACCGCATCAATTTTAATGCCGCTCTACTGAAACATGGCAGTTGTTTTTAACCAATTTAAGAACAAACAAGAGACAGAAAGAAGGAGAGGGGGAAAGAGAGAGAGAGAACAGAGACCCAACACTCCAGGGGTAATCCTTGTCTTCTGAAGGTACTAAATTGAATAGCAGCTGTCCTGTGAAGCACAGATGCACTCTGCTCGGACTAAGGGACTGGTTTCAGCCCCCACCAATTCACAAACCAGATTAGTCAGGAAAAGCTCAGCTTTAAGACTGCTCTTTGTGAGTGAGCTCAAAGGCCTAGTTTCCAGATTTTGCTGTTCAGTGCTAATTAACTGGGAGTTTCTAAGTTCATTTGCCCATCTTCCAACACACTTACTTTGACTTACATTTCATGTGTCATCACGTTGGAAGAGGAAACCTAACACTAACAATCAGCGCTCTGTCCATTCATCCATCTGTGGACACGGTTGTTGTTTTCACGGCCCAGCTACAACGAACTGGAGAGCTCAGCTCTCGCCTTGGGACACTGATTCAGCTCCTTCGGATCGAAACCCAAAAGTGAAAATAAGCCAGACACAGAAAGACAAATACCATGTGATCTCATTCATATGTAGACTATAAAATAGTCAAATTTGTAGAAGCAGAGTCATGGCAGCTGCCAGGAGCTGGAGACAGGTGGAAACGGGAGGTGACAGTTAAGGGTGCAAAAGGATGGATATACTTGGTATAGCCTTGGTTTCAAAGGATATACTTATCCCAAACTCATCATCAAGATATACTCATTAGGTATCTGCAGCTTTACTATTTTAAGCTTTTGCCAGAGTGATTTTCAAGCCACCAGTCTGGGACTTGAACCACGGTTGGCCTCATGGAAGTCCAGTGTCTTAACCAGCATGCCACCTGCTAGCCCCATACATCTATAGCTTTTTACATGTGAATCATACCTCAATAAAGGAGGTCTTAAAACATCAGTGTTCGGGGAACCAGCAGTTAGCGTAATGGCTTGCCCAAGATCCCGAGAGGAGAATGGAGGAGAAGGGATTGTGGCGTGACCATCCTCCCTGGGGGGTGATTTCTCGCTTTCTGTCTCTATGTCTCTCTCTGTCTGTCTGGTGAGCGCACGTGCCCTATAGTGAAAACCTCTCAAAAAAATAAATAAAATACAGTGGACTATGAAGATGGGTATGATTACGTTTATAGTTCAAATGAGGACCCATTGTATAGGAAAGTTAAA